AATATAAAAGATCATGTCATCTACAAATAATTTTAATTCTTCCTCTCAAATCTATATGCCTTTTCTTTATCTTGCATAACCTCCCTGGCTATATCCTCTAGTCCAAAGTTGAACAAAAGTGGCAAGAACAGATATCCTTCTTGTTTCTGATCTTAGGGGAAAAGCTTTTAGTCTTTCACTATTAAGATGTTTCACTATTGAGGTGTTTTTTTGTAGATGCCTTTTTAAAAAAATATTTATTTTTTTAGTTGTAGATGGACACAGTACCTTTATTTATTTATTCATTTTTATGTGGTACTGAGGATCGAACCCAGGCCCCTGCATATGCTGGCAAGAGTGCTCTACCGCTGAGCCACAACCCCTGCTCCTGTACATGCCTTTTATCAGGCAGAAATTCCCTTCTATTCCTAGTTTATGGAGCATTTTTAATCTGAAAGTGTGAAATTCTGTCAAAGCTTTTTCCATGTCTTCTAACTACTGGGATTTGTCCTTTATTCTATGAATATTATATTGATTTTTTGATATTAAACTAACCTTGTATTCCTAGGATAAATCTAATTTGATCATGGTGTATAATCCTTTTTATGTCACTAGTGTCAGCTTACTAGTATACTATTGAGGTTTTTATATCTATGTTCATAGGGGCTAGTAGTCTGTGGTTTTCTTGTGATTATCTTTGTCTGATTGCTGGCTTCATAAAATGAGTTGGGACATGTTCCCTTTGGAAAAGTTTATGAAGGGTTAATATTATTTTTTGAATAGTTGATGAATTGCACCAATGGTGCCATATAGACAAGGCTTTGCTTTGTGGATAGCTTTAATTTTTTTTTAAAAATTACTAATTCAGTGTCTTAAACTGTAGGTTTTTTTTTTTTTTTAAACTGTAGGTTTAATTCAGGTTTTCTATCTCTACTTGAGTTGTCTTCAATAATCATATTTTTCTTGGAACTTTCATATAAATTTGTTGGTATACAATGTTTGTAGCATCCCATAGTAATCCTTTTTGCTTTCTTTTTTAAAATTTCATATGGTTTACCTCACTTGTTTTGGTTAAAAAAGAAAGTTTTACTGGATGCAAGTATGCCCATTCATTTATATACTGACTATGCTTGCCTGTATCAAAACTTCAGAGTTGAGTAGTTGTGATAGGGACTATACAGTCCACAAAGCCAAACATTAATTATCTGGCTCTTTATAGTATAAATTTGCTGACCTCTAGCTTAGGAGAATAAAAATCAAAGTTAAGGGGATGAGGTTAGAGTTGCCTAGTATGTGTGAGGCACTGGGTTCAATCTTCAACACCACATAAAATAATAAATAAATAAGTTTTAAAAAATCAAAGTTAAGTCCTCCAGTAGAGCAAAAGGTTGTGAGGAAAGTCTAAATGTTGAGTGAATTTTCAAGTGACTTGCTTAAGGGTATACCTATAATACCAAAGTTAGAAATACCATATAGTTTTATAAGTGTCAGCTCAAAGTTCCATTCCTGCCTTATCCCTCAGACATCACCCTTTATGGGGAAACAAACACCATATTCTGTACAAAGATCCAGGTTCATAGAATAGAGTTCCAAAGTAAAATGTATTCTGAGCAAGTAGGAAAAGAGTAATAAGGCCAAACTGAATAACAGTTTTCTTTCAGTTGAGAGAGGAAAGCAACATAAAAGCCTAAACCCACATAGCTTTCTCAATTGTCTTTTTTTTTTTTTTTTTTTTTTTGCAATGCTAGGGATTGAATCCAGGACTGAATGTATGCTAGGCAAGTGCTATACCACTGACTACATCCTTAGCCCTCACAATGACTTATGAATAGCAAGACAGGCTATTAGTGAGGGCTCTCCCAGTTCTTTCCTGGCTTCACAAAGGTAGAATGAATCAATTCATCCCTTTTGTGCCCATATCACCTTGAAAATTTACCCTATTAGCATCTTTCACACACATTTTTACCCATATTGGTACTCCCTCACCATTTACCTTAGCAACCTTAGGCTCTGTGTAAAATATGCTCCAATGCAATGCAACCCTCCTCAGCTCTTGCAGAAAAAAATATTCCCCATCATCTTTACTATCAGCAACAACTAAACTGTTGTCACCCACCATAATGGCTAGAAATGTCCAAATTATTTCCATAGGAAGCCAAATGTAGAGTTCCCACTTTTAAACAAACAGCTCCACAAATAGCACCTAACAGGGGTTAGTAACTTCATCAAGGATATCATTATAGCTGATAGATTATATAACACAGAAAATATTCTGAGTATAAAATTATTCCTTTCATGGAAAAACCTTGGCAATCATATCCAAACAAGCTCTGTGATGGATAATATCATAATAATGTTATTTCATGTGTAAGTGCAATGGGAACATCCATTATTCCAGATTTGGTGTGGGGTTTCCTACAAAAGTATTGTCATTCCAATTTTACCATTAGACCTGACAATAAGAAATAAATGAGGCTAAATTGAAGCTTTGGGCGAAGTCACTGAAAGGTCCAGAAACTCAAAGCAAATCCTTTAACTTATATCAAAGAACTTACAGATCAAGTGGGAAGATAAATTTGTCAGTACATTGAAGAATTTGCCAAGTTAGAGAAGAAATACTACAACTTTCCCTCTTTTGTTCCCTCTCAAAGACTAATGCCGGGCCATCATTCAATTCTCCTACCTCTGAAAAATATCAGATCTGTCACCAAGTCCTAGTTATTTCACCTCCAAAGTCTCCCCCTCTGTTGGAAATCTCTAATACCACTGCCTCCATCTAACCTATACATCTTCATTTCTCTGTGGGGTTGATGAGTGGAAGAAACTTGCCCCAATGTGGAGAGCAATACTTCCTCCCTCTGTTCTTCACCTTTCTCATTCATGTCTCTACTCTAGGAAAAAAATACAAGGTTTATATCTGCCCACCAACTAGTCTCTCAACCTTCAGTCTTCATGGTTTTCCATTCTCAGCATCACTCACTTGTATCTCACAACACTGTTAAAAATAAAAATTAATTATATTACTTTTCCTTAAATCTGCTACAGAATTCCTGTAAGGCAAGAGCACACACCTCAGTTGGGCCCCCACCTAATTCTCCAGTATTGACCTTCTAGCTGCCTCTATGCATCATATAGATACCAACCACAGTGGATTACTCCAATAAAGAACCATTCTCTTCCATTTCCATATGTATGCACATATTGTTTCTCTTGAAAGTTCACTTTATTTATTCTTTAGTTGTAATTGGACAAAAAACCTTTATTTTATTTATTTTTATGTGGTGCTGAGGATCAAACCCAGGGTCTCACACGTGCTAGGGGAGTGCTCTACCGCTGAGCCACAACCCTAGCCCTTGAAAGTACACTTTTATAGCTAGCAAAATGCAGATTAAATGCCCCAACTGTTGTGGCCCTCCCTGACTTAAGATACTCTCATGGGGGCTGGGGTTGTGGCTCAGTGGCAGAGCATGTGTGGGGCCTGGGTTCAATCCTCAGCATCACATATAGATAAATAAATAAAGGCGTTGTGACCATCTACAACTAAAAAATATTTTTTTAAAAAAGATACTATCATGGTTCCCACAGTTCTCTCTTCCAACATTTGACAATTCTCTTATGAACTAGAATTCTGCATACATACCTTACATTTATAGACCAGTCAATATTTAGGATTAGCTATTAAAGATCTATGTCCCAATCAGTGGTAGCACCCTTGCTAGCATTTGCAATGCCCTGGGTTCAATTCCCAGCAACACACACACACACACACACACACACACACACACACACAAACATCTACATTCCCAATACCATATATACTGCAGGCCTCAATTATCTGATGACTTTATTAACTACCAGGAGTGAAAAAGTGGAGGATAGTAATATACCATTTTCATTATAAAAAAACATGAGTGATATTTCATTAAGTCCTTAAAATAGAACTTAAAGAATGTTTTTTATAAATATATATGCTCTCTTATTTGCTCTATAAAACTCAAAAATTCACTTCTCAAAACTATGCTATACAAACAACAATAAGTGTTGGTGAAGATGTTGGGGAAAAGGCATACTCATACATTGCTGGTGGGACTGCAAATTAGAAAAGCCAATATGGAAAGCAGTATGGAGATTCCTTGGAAAACTGGGAATGAAACCCACTATTTGACCCAACTATCCCACTCCTCGATCTATACTCAAAGGACTTAAAAACAGCATACTACAGGGACACAGACACATCAGTGTTTATAGCAGCACAAATCACAATAGCTAAATTATGGAACCAACCTAGAAGCCCTTCAATAGATGAATGGATAAAGAAACTGTGGTACATATACACAATGGAATTTTACTCAGCATTAAAAGAGAATAAAATCATGGTACTTGCAGGTAAATGGATAGAGTTGGAGAATATCACACTAAGTAAGTAAGTCAATCCCCCAAAACCAAAGGCTGAATGCTTTCTCTAACATGCGGATGCTGATCCAAAATGGGGGTGGGGGAGGATGGGAGGAATGGAGGAACTTTAGATAGGGGAAAGGGGAGGAGATGGGAGGAATAGAGAAACTTTAGATATGGCAAAGGGGAGGGGGGAAGGGAGTGGGCATGAGGTAGGAAAGATGGTGGAATGAGATGGACATCATTACCCTAAGTACATGTATGAAAACACGATTGGTGTGACTATACTTTGTGTACAATCCGAGACATGAAAAATTGTGCTCCATATGTGTACTTTGAATTGAAATGCATTCTGCTGTCATGTATAACAAATTAGAATAAATAAATACATTTTTAAAAATTATGCTAGAAATAGTTTACAGAATAAACATCAGTAACATGATGGAATACAGTAGATAATGGGCCAGATTCCAGTTAGAATTATTTGATTGAAAGTTCGGATTTCTTTGTAATCTATTTCTTTCAGTCTCAGGCCTACTTCTTCTGCCTTATACTTATACCAACCTCAAACAACTTAACCATTCCCCTCTAATGTTAGACCTGTAAGTTCAGCCCCTGAAGCTTACCTGAGCTGAGATGCCAATAAGGAGCAGCCACTTCTGGTATTCATCAGTTCGGTAGTGGATCATCTGGCACCCAGCCAGACTAGCATGCCTATCAAACATCTTCATGGGCTGGGAGTCACCTTCCATGTTCCAGTGGTAGACCACAGTCTCAGTCACCAAGGCAATAGTGTTCACAGAGATCCATTTCCAAAATAACACCTCTTCTGCCATAGTATGAGACTTCATTTTACTCTTCAGCCCAATATTAAAGATTTGAAGAGTCTTCCCAGCTAGTATTTGATATTATAGAGATTAGAGAAAAATAAATTAAAAATAGAAAAGGCAAATTCTTATCCACTTAATTCTGAATCCTTTTAATATTACTCTAAATTGTAATATTTAAGTTAATCTGATTAACAAGAAACAAGGCTGCCTAAGTAGTAATTGACCATATTTTGATGTCTAAATATTAAAAAGAACTTTCTATACATTAGATTCTTTATTTATTTTTTATTTTTTAGTTGTAGTTGGACCCAATACCTTTATTTTATTTATTTATTTTTATGTGGTACTGAGGATCAAACTCAGGGCCTTGCATGTGCTAGGTGAGTGCTCTGCCACACTGAGCCACAACCCCAGCCCTACATTAGATTCTTCTTCAGAAGAATAACAACAAAAAATTAGTTCTATTGAAACAAGAAGCAGTTTTAGATTGGTTTCTTCTAGTTTTAAAACGTGTCTGGGGCTGAGGGTGAAGCTCAGTGATACATGTACTTAGCATGTGAGAGGCCCTAGGTTCAATCCCCAACACCAAAATCCCTCCAAAACCAAAACCAACTTTTCTATATTAAGTTAACAAGAACATAAGATATCCTTTATTTTCTTTTACTTATTTATTACTTAAATAGTGCTATTGTTGTCAAATAAAAATTTCTACAATGTTGGAAATATTCTAAATTTGCACTATTCACAGTGGACACTAGATATTTGTGGCTATTATTAGTCATTTGAAATGTATCTAATGAAATGTATCTAATGAAACACATTTCGGGGACAGAGATTTTACTTTTATTTAATTAAACAGTCATGTGGGCAGATAGGACAGCACAATTTTTTTTAAAATTTATTTCTTACATATGTGACAATAGTGGAATGCATTACATTCATAATTATCCATTCACAGCACAATTTTTCATAACTCTGTATATAAAGTATGTTCACGCCAAATTATGCCATTATACATGAACTCTTTTTTTTGCACTACAATTCTTAATACACTTTTATACCACAATTTATCATATCTCTGTATATAAGGTATGTTAACACGAGATGCATATCTTCATACATGTATTTTTTTTTAGAGAGAGAGAATTTTTAATATTTATTTTTTAGTTTTCGGCGGACACAACATCTTTGTATGTGGTGCTGAGGATCGAACCCGGGCCGCACGCATGCCAGGCGAGCTCGCTTCCGCTTGAGCCACATCCCCAGCCCCGATACATGTATTTTGTGTAATGATGACCATCACCTTCCACTGTCCTTGCTATTCCCCTTCCCACTCCCTTTCCCTCCCACCCCTCTTCCCTATCTAGAGGTAATCTTCCTCCCATGCTCTCCCTCCCTACCCCACTTTGAGTCAACCCCCTTATATCAGAGAAAACATTTGGTATTTGTTTTTTTGGGATTGGCTAACTTCACTTAGCATAATATTCTCTAATGCCATCCATTTACCTGCACATGCCATGATCTTATTCTTTTTTAGTGCTGACTAAAATTCCATTGTGTATAAATTCTACATTTTTTTTTTATCCATTCATCCACTGAAGAACATCTTGGTTGGCTCCACAGTTTAGCTATTGTGAATTGTGCTGCTGTAAACATTTATGTAGCTTAGGACAGCACAACTCTTGATAAGAATTTAGTATCCAACTTCTGACAAGAGATTCATATTGTTTTCAACATTGGCAACGAGCTGATTTCTGATTTTGGAATCTATGTAAAACTTAGAGCTATCTGGGTATGGTGGTGCAGTCCTGTAATCCCAGTGATTTGGGAGGCTGAGGCAAGAAGATTGTGAGTTGGAGGCCAGCCTCAGCAACTTAGTGAGACCCTGTCTCAAAATAAAAAATTAAAATGGCTGGGTATGTAGCTCAGTGGTAGAGCACCCCTGGCTTCAATTCTCAGAACCAGGGGGGACCCTTAGTGGTAACATGAAATATTGAAATATTGCTCCTTACTAAGATCATGAACAAGGCAAGGGTTATTTCTCTGACCAATTATTTTGAGATCATACTGGATACAATAGCCAGTGAGACAAGGCAAAAAAAAATTAAAAAAAAAAAGTAATAGTAAACCTCTCTTTTTTCAGAGATAGCATAATTATTTACAAAGAAAACACCAAGGAATTAAATATCCCCAAAACAATTCTTAGAATAGGTGAATATAGCAATGTTGCAGAATACAAGGTCAATATATAAAAACATTGAATTTTGAAATTCTAGCAGCAAACTGAAAATAAATTTTAAAAAATCTATAATGCCACCAAAAACATAACCTTTAGAAATAAATTTAAAAGATATGCAAAACTTCTGCACTATAAAGCATAAAATGAAAAAAAAAAAGAAAAGCTTAAATAAAAAAAGGTGCATGGATCAGAACACTTACTAAGATGTTATTTCTCCCCGAATTTATCTATAGGTTCAGTGCGATCCCAACTAAAATCTTAGCATCCTTTAAAACAACAACAACAACAACAACTTTTTGTAGTTGTAGATGGACAGAATGCCTTTATTTATTTTTTATGTGGTGCTAAGGATTGAACTCAGTGCCTCACAAATGCTAGGCAAGTGCTCTGCCACTGAGCTACAACCCCAGCCCAAACATCCTTTTTAAATTTAAGTATAAAATGCTGATTCTAAAATATATATGGAAATATAGAGGATAAAGAACAGTCATAAAGATTTTAGAAAAGAACAAAGTTGGAAGACTTACTACACCTGACTTAAATACTATAATGATACAGTAATAAAAATGTGTTATGGCCATAAGCATAAACTTACAGATCAATGAAAAAGAATTGAAATAGCTATATGCAATTGAACTGACAAAGGTGAGAAGAAAAAACATTCACATGGAATCTCAAGAGGACTTGAAATAGCCAAAATAATCTTGAAAAAGATCAAAGGTGGAGATCTCATACATCTGGACTTAAAACTTATTACAAAGTTAGATGTCATTAGGAATATAAAAAGAAAACTACATACAGAGAGAATATATGCATAATCACAGAGCCAATCAATAATTTATATTCTGAATGCAGAAAGAAATGTTATAATTCAATAAGACAAATACATGCTTAAGAAATGGGTTAATGGCTCTGGGTTGAGGGAGGTGGGAGGGAATAAGTTGCAAAAGATGTTTTGTTAAGAGCGTACTAGAAAATTACAGCTTACCTATTCCCTGTATGTTATGTGCATTTCATTAACTTTGCTGTAATGGACAAAGGAGTCCTAATTTTATAATATACAGTCCCTACTAAGAGTTTGCCAATGTATGACAAAAACAGAGTTAGTAAACACATTTTGTACAGAAACGCAGACTTCTGAGAAGGACTTTTTGAAGTGAAATTCTAATATCACATCTGAGTGATACATATGCCTATATCACATGTGATACAGGAAAGAAGGAAATGGAAGAAATGAAGGATTCTAGGCCAGAATAACCATGTGTGCAGTTTATTCAACACTACTTTGTACAACTGAAGTCCATATTTGAAAAATATAGTCTTTCTTGATGTTTAGAAGTGTACAAAGTATGTTAAAAGTAGAGGTAGCAAGTAAAACATTTTTTGAGGAAAAAACTGGTTAATGGGCTGGGCACATTATAATGCCTATAATTCCAGCAACTTGGGAGGCTAATACAGGAGGATCACAAGTTTGAGGCCAGCATCAGCAACTTAGTGGGATCCTAAGCAACATAGCAAGACCCTGTTTCAAAATAAAAAGAGCTGTGAATATGGTTCACGGGCAAAGTGCCCCTGGTTTTAATCCCCCAGACCCCCCCCCAAAAAAAGAGGGGGGGTGAATATATATAAGATCTTTATCACACATTGATCCGTTTGTTTTTATAATTCTTTGTAAAAAGCATTTTTAGATTCAGGGTCTAAATAAAAATCAGGCAGTCTGCTAATCTCTCAGTTATAATATTAGTGTTCTAGTAAATGATGAGCAACAAATGAAACATTCTACCAGCACTTTATGATCTTTTGGTTAAGGGCAAAAATATGTCTCCAGTTCTAAAGTATTCACCATGAATCTCTGAGCAGATAAGATGTGAAGAGGGACTGGCTTCTCCAGAAGACCTGGCAACCACATGGTCAAAGGATCTTGGTTACATGGCCAGGTACAAGGACAGGTACAGGGTACAAGGTCAGATTAGGTCATCAAGAGGAGGGTAGTGCTACCACAAGGGGATACCCTTGTCTTGAATCCTTTTGAAAATTTAGATCCACTTTTTGTGCTACCTAGGGAAAAAGGGTCATTACAGCATTGTTCTTGATTTCCATTGTAACTTAAAGGGAAATTGTCACTGTTATGGGATGATTTGAAAATTAGCCCTGACTTACCTTATTTTGCTCAGACACCTCATCCTATGTGAAATTGGCTTCCCTTCCACATGAGCCTATTGCATAAAAGCTAATACCTCCACCCCCACTTACTTGCATCCTGACCACAATATCCTTGCTTTATGGGACTAATGCAAAATTGTTTTTCTGAGTATGAACTTTCTGAGAGTATGATTATATGACTCTTTTTTGGTAACTTTCCATTTGCATGAGATGTACCTTACGATTATGATTGCTTCCCCTGCAAACTTTTTGTAGTTTTAGACCTTATAAGCATGTTACTGTCCCCAATCAGGGTCGAGGGTTGCACAACTGCTTGCTGCACTCTTGGCCCTGGATGGAAATAAAACTTTTGTCTTTACCTTAAAAGGCCCTAGAGAATTATTTATAAATTTGGGAATAACACCTTAACTTCACAATGTCTGGAGGCCTTGATGTCCTGCAAATGAGGAAGGAGGATGTCCCCAAATTCCTTGCAGCAGGAACCCACTTATGTGGCACCAACCTTGATTTCTATATGGAACAATATATCTTAAAAGGAAAAGTGATGGCATCTATATCATAAATTTGAAGAGGACCTGGGAGAAGCTTCTGCTGGCAGCTCGTACCATTGTTGCCATTGAAAATCCTGCTGATGTCAGTGTCAAATCCTCTAGGAATACTGGCCAGTGAGCTGTGCTGAAGTTTGCTGCTGCCATGGAGCCACTCCTATTGCTAGCTGCTTCACTCCTGGAACTTCACTAACAAGGCAGCCTTCTAGGAGTCATGTCTTCTGGTATTTACTGGTCTCAGGACTGACCACCAGTCTCTTACAGAAGCATCTTATGTCAACCTGCCTACCATTGCTCTGTGTAACAGATTCTCCTCTGTGCTATGTGGATATTGCCATTCCATTCAATAAACGGAACTCACTCTGTGGATGTGATGTGATGGACGCTGGCCCCAAAAGTTCTGTGCATGCATGGCACAATTTCCTGTGAACACCCAGGGCAGGTCATACCTGATATTTACTTCTACAGAGATCCTGAAGAGAATGAAAAAGAAGAGCAGGCTGTTGCTGAAAAAATTGTGACCAAGGAGAAATTTCGGAGCAAAGGGACTGCTCTAGCTCTTGAGTTCACTGCTACTCAACCTGAGGTTGTAGACTAGTCTGAAAGTGTGCAGGTACCCTTTATGCATATCTAAGCAGTTCTTTACTGAAGACTGGAGAGCCTGGCAGCCACTGAAGATTGGTATGCAGCTCCCACTGCTCAGTGCAGAGAGAACAACCACTTAGTGGTCTTGAGCTGTTCTTCTGTAAACACTTAAGCAAAAATAGAAATAAATTTATGGAAAATAAACACTTGTTTCTTTTTTAAAAAAAAAAGAGGTCCAGTGCTTGAAAAGCCATTTTCCAATTACAAGACCTCACTGGGCCAAATGAGGTGGTTCACGAGATTCAAGATGAGACCCCTTCACTTCCTTGCTTTACCAGTACCTGCGGAAACCAGTTATGATCTGAAATGAAATGACAGTGCTGGCAGAGTTTATTTGTAAGTCAATGATCTCTGTAATTCAATTGCCACACAAACACTTTTCTTTTTTAATTGTTTTTAGTGTTGGGGATTGAATAAAGGAATATTCTGCCACTGAGCTACATCTCCAGCACTTTTCAATTTTCATTTTGAGACGGGTCTTATTAAGTTGAAGAGGCTGGCCTCCAACTTGAAATCCCCCTGCCTCAGTCTCCCAAGTCACTGGGATTACAGAGGTGTGCCACCATGTCCAGCAAATATCTTCTTTTTAAAATACATTTTTTGTGGGCTGGGGCTGTAGCTCAGCGGCAGAGCACTTGCCTAGTGCATGTGAGGCACTGGGTCCAGTCCTCAGCACCACATAAAAATAAACAAATAAAATAAAGACATGCTGACCATCTATAATTACAAAAATATTTTTTGCTTATTTTGATCTAGAGTTTTTAAAATACACTATACATCTTCCATGTGCCAAAAATTTGTACTACAAGAATCTGAAATCAACCAACAACCACAAAATTTAAGTAAAAATAGCAGAAAGCCTTAAATTGTATCTCTGTTTCCATAACTTCACATTTTCCTATACAAAAAGCACTTAACATTGCTACAGATGAAGAAATTCATAAGAAGTATGTGGGGGTGTGTCCACAGAAAGGCCATGCTGGTCTCCTGATGGACAGAAACCATCTCATAGAATGCCAACTTTAGACAAAGACTCTCTAAGACTAGGTTACAGGGAGATATCAAAGCAAGGCTGCTTTGAATTCTGTCTAAGAAGACAAAAACAAGGCTACTGTGCAATCTGCAAACTAACAACACTCCTCCTCCTATAGCTAGAACAAGTGACATGCTACTTCTTTACTAATTACAGCTTTTAAAATATTGTTATACATATATACATTTATATATATATATATATATATGAACAGTCCAATATATTTTGATATATTAATACAAGCATGGAATACATCCTATTCTAATTAGAATCCCAGTCTTATAGATGTATATGAGGTTGAGATTCACTCTGGTGTATTCATATATGTACATAGGAAAGTTATGGCAGATTCATTCCACTGTTTTTCCTACTCCTATCCCCCCTTCCTTCCCTTCATTCCCCTTTGTATAATCCACTGAAATTTTATTCTTCCCCTCCCTTCCTTGTTGTGGGTTAACATCTAGATATCAGAGAGAACATTCAATCTTTGGTTTTGGGTGACTGGCTTATTTAGCAGATAGTCTCCAGATCCATCCATGCAAATGTACTAATGTCATTCTTCTTCTTTACGGCTGAGTAATATTCTATTGTGTACCACAATTTCTTTATCCATTCATTTGTTGATGGGCATCCACCAATTATAGCTTTATCCCCTCTGGTCTTCCTTTTCTCATAGATAAGATTCCTTGAGATGCCCTATCACAAAATCACCCCCACTTTCTGAAAATATCTAATCTATGGCAAATCTCTGCTTCCTTAGACTATCCTACAAATCATACAACTAAAGCCAAAATTCTAAATAAGGTTCTTAACTTATACCCTCTTACTGAGGTATACCCTAGTTTCATGCAATGTGTGTTCGTTCTCTCACTGTATAACCAGAGTAATAAAACCAACTTGTTCAACTGCATGCATGTTGCTGGTGGTATTGGCTAGAGGGGGATGGTATCATCTAAGTACTATATTCTCTCTAGAAATTTTTACACACACACACACACACACACACACACACACAAACACACCAAAAGATCCACAATGCACAATATTAAAGAGAATTGTGCTGGAGAACCAGGAAAAGGCAGGTCACTTCTGGTACTTGCTGTGAATACAAAATAACAACATGCTACATAAGATCTCTCTAAAATGATTTAAAATACAGAAAGAAAAACCAACAAGGGGAAAATGCCATAAAAAATAGCCAAGGCATAAGTGACAAAGTAAAAGAAATAGAATCATTAAGTTCATAAATTTAATACTTTTTTCAATTAAAATTAAAACAGTTTACACTCCTTATACTACATGTTCAAAAAAAAAAAAACTTTGACAAAGCCAGACATAGTGGTGCACTGTCTCAAAATAGGTCCCTGTCTCAAAATAAAAAATAAAAAGGGCTGGGATGTGCCTCGGTGGTTGAGCAGTTGAGCATCCCTGGGTTCAATCCCCAGAACCCCCCACCCCCCAAAAAACCCCAACTTTGACAAGACTTCAAGGAAAAAGGTAGACTTGGTAACAAAACAAAGATCTTTAGGACCTCTATTTAAAAAGAAATAACTGAAGTTTTTGTATTCAAAAGATCCAGATGTCCTTATACCTACTGAAATGACAAAGTAGGCCCTATTTCTACAACAAAATAGAAGCTAAGGCAAAGCTAATATTTGGCATTCACAACATTTTTTAATGTCTTTATTTTATTTATTTATTTATTTTGTAGTTGTAGATGGACAGAATACCTTTATTTATTTATTTAATTTTTATGTGGTACTAAGGATCAAACCCAATGCCTCCTGCATCAAGGTAAGTGCTCTGCCTCTCAGCTACAGCCCCAGCTCTAATGCCTTTATTTTACTTGTTTATTTTTATTTTTTTACATATTTTTTTCGTTGTCAATGGATCTTTATTTTATTTACATGCAGTGCTGAGAATCAAACCCAATGTCTCATACATGATAGTCAAGTGCTCTACCACTGAGCTATAGCCTCAGTCCCATATTTGTTTATTTTTATATGGTGCTAAGGATTGAATCCAGGGCCTTACCTGTGCTAGGCAAGCACACTGCCACTGATTAGAGCCCCAGCCCATTCACAAATTTTTGGTCCAAAAATAGTTTTTATTTTTCAAGGTAAACAATTTTACATAAAACATTCACAAATCCACTCTGTACAAAATTCCTTCATTTCCAAATCAAGGCAGTATGAAAAGATTCTATATTTTTCAAATTAACCTGAAAGTTTTTCATACCCAATGTTTCCTGTGTTCAGAGAAGTGAAATTCTATTAATGATCAGCTCTCCTTTCATGAGAGAGGGAGGTTTTTTGGCTTCTTCTCAGGATGCCTACAGCAGCCTTGTAGCAGGCCCTGACATGAAGGTACCACAGAGCCCTCTTTATGAGCACACATGGTACTGCTCTGGATTTCCAGACCTATGAAGACAAGGTTCTAGGCATTTGTTCCCTCTCCAGTGTGTCTGGCACAGTAGGTGACATTACAAAGCAGCTCTGGTTCTCATGGACTTCTTACAAGGGCACACTAAATATAGCTTCTGCTAAAATTTTTGGAATCAGGTTGAATACTACTTATGACACCTCACTGTGAGTTTACTGACACTTGTCTAATACATAAGGTAACAAAGTAGGTACAGTGAAATAAAATTCCTTTCCAAAAATATGTTGGGCTTACCTTTCAGAGCTATCACTTTAGAAACTGGATTCATGATGGCACTCTCTGCTGAGATAGGACGTCTGATGGGTGCCATTGGGTCATTCATGTCAATAATCACCACTTGTGCCTGCTCCCCGACTTTCTCTCGGACACATATGAACTTGTCAGACTCCATAGTCAGTGTACTAAATCCAATATTGGCTGGATTTATTCCTAGGTTTTGGAGCTAAATAGAGAAGAACCTTTGATTAAAGTAAGCTTTTCCTTTCTGAAAGAGATTATCTCTAGCCTAGTGTTAGCAAAGTCTAACAGAAGGAAGAGGAAAATGTATACTAGAGTTTAGAAAAAACTTAACATTAGGTAAATATTTAAGGAAAACATAGGTTTTCCTTTCTATACTTGTAATAGTAACAGTCTAAAGGTCAAGAGAAGCCCTTGAGTTAACTTTCAAGGGGCTTAAAATCTGCAGGGGTGACAAGGCATGTGTAAGAATAAAGATAGCACCAGGGAGTATAAAGGTTGCCATAAGAGACACAGAAAGAGATGAGCTGGAGGGAGCCCACAAAAAACACCACCAGAGAAGGCACAGAGAAGTTCATCATTGAGGAGAGCTTTTGGGAGCTTCAGGGGAAGAAAATGGGGAAAGAGGAGACACAAATACTGGTTTTTCTAAAAAGCAAGTAAAAAGAAAAATTAGATAGGAATTTGTTTAAAACATCTCCCTAGACATCATTAAGTCTGCCTAAATCTGATTTTTACTTGTGAAAACCAAAACTAGGCAACTTTCTCCAAAGGCCAGCATATGAGAGTACCTGGATTAAATAAGACCTACTAATGGGATTTGCAACAATGAAATTCCCCAGAAAAACACATATTTAAGAAGCATACATAAAGAACCTATAAAGAACCATGTCTATTTCTATAAATTCCCCTGCCTCAACAAGCTACCTTTATTTTCACTTTATTTATTATTTGAAATGGGGTCTTGCTGTGTTGCCAAAGCTGGTCTGAAATTTCTAGGCTCAAGTGATTCTCCTGAGTCAGCCTCAGTGGCAGAGTAAGGGGAGGTGGCCACTGAATCAGCCAGTAACTGGGACTACAAGCACATGCCATTGAGAGGAGCTTTTCTTTGTGTTTTGTTTTGCAGTGCGGGGGGATTGAACCCAGGGCATCCTGCATAACAGACCACTGAGTGTTCTATAACTCCAGAAGTTCTTTTTATAAAATTAATTAATTAATTTGTTTATTTAAACTAGGTATATATGACAGCAGAATGCATTCTGATTCACTGTACACAATTTTAGCACAACTTTTCATTTCTCTGGTTGTACATGATATGGCATCATACCATAAGTGCAGTTAACACATGTATCTAGGGTAATGATATCCATCTCATTTCAGACCTTCTTTTATTTTTAAATATTGTTCAGTTCAATCCCATCCCTACTGCTATTGTTTTGACCTTTTAACATCTGTTTCCTTGTGTAAACTTGTGTAAGTTTATTCCACCTACAAAGATAGTGAGCCCCTTGTTTAAAAATATCTACCACCTTTTGGAAGGAACAAGAATGAGACTCTTCATACTGTTGGTATAATTTTTATTCTATTATTTTTTTTCTTTGTTATAGGTATGAATGCCTCAAAAGCAGGGACTGTATCCACCGTTTGTTGTCTTTGTAGCACAGTCTAATACATACTGGATATTCTAGCTACTGAGTTCAGCAGGCTGCAGAACAAAAGATTACCTCATCTGATCTTCCTACTAACCAAGGTTTTTTATTTTTATTTTTTTTTAACTAAGAAATCATTCCAGGAGTTGGAGATATGGCTCAGTGGTAAAGGGTTTACCTGATTCCTGAGTCTCCTCCATAAAAGTCCCAGAACTCAAGCCTGTTTTGCCTCTCTCTCCTATAGAGAGATGGCGTTTATTTGTCAGCTCTGACAAAAAACTCTCCTGTGCATTTCTGCCTGGTCTCTGTCTTTATTTCTTGCTTACCCGTCTCTCGTTCCTTGCTTTCCCTTTAATCCTCATCAAAATAACCAGTGACAAGGGGCTGGGGTTGTGGCTCAGTGGTAGAGTGCTTGCCTCACATGTGTGAGGCACTGGGTTCAATTCTCAGCACCACATATAAATAAATGAATAAAATAAAGGTCCATCAAACTAAAAAATATTTTTTAAAAAATAACCAGTAACATTCTTCAGATAACTAGAAAAAGCAATTCTCAAATTCATATAGGAGCTAGCTCACACTTTTGATGCCAGTGACTTGGGAGGCCAAGGCAGGAAGATTGCAAGTTCACGGCCAATCTCAACAACTATTTTAGTTAGGACTTTTGCCATTATGAACAAAAGACCCGAGAAGGTCTTTTAGAGGAGGAAAAGTTTATTTGGCTCACGGTTTCAGAAGTCTCTATCAATAGGTGGCCGACTCCACTGCTCTGGGCCTGAAGTGAAGCAGAACACCACCACAAAAGGAGGAAAGCAGTTCAGGACATGGCAACAAGAAAGCAAAAAAAGCACTCCGCTCACCAGGGACAAAATATAAACCCCAAAGGCATGCCCATAGTGACCTACCTCCTCTAGCCACCCTACCTACCTACAGTTACCTCCTAGTTAATCCACATAAATGGATTTATCATCCATTGGTTATGTTAAGACTCGAATCAGTTCAACTCTGAAAATTCTGCAGTCTAACACATGTGCTTTTGGGGGATACCTCATTGGTAAACCCAAATAGCAACTTAGTGAGATTTTGTCTTGAAATAAAAAATAAAAAGGGTTGGAAATGTAGCTCATTCACAAAGTACCTCTGGGTCCAACCCATGGTGGTGGTACTGCTACTACTGCTGCTGCTACTACTAGTAGTAATACTACTAATAATAATGAAGCACAAAGACTCCAAAGAGCCAAGGCAATTCTTAGGAAAAAAGGACAGTGCTGGAAGCATCACAATACTTTATTTCAGAATATACTATAGAGCCCCTGTAACAAAAACAGAAAGGTATTGTCATAAAAACAGACATAAAGACCAATATAATAGAATAGAGGACCCAGAAATAAACCCATGCATTCAAACCATCTGATTCTCAACAAGAGTCAAAAACATAAACTGGAGGGGCTGGGGTTATAGCTCAGTGGTGGAGTACTTGCCTAGTCTGCAAACTAGTAAAGCCACTATGGAAATCAATATAAAGATTCCTCAAACAAAACAAAAATAGAACTACCATATGATCCAGCTACACCATTCCAGATATATATCTGAAGGAATCAAAGTCAGTATACAATAGAGATATCTGCATACTCATGTTTATCGTGACACTATTTACAATAGTTAAATTACAAATTGAGCCTAGATGCCCATAAATAGATAAATGGATAAAGAAAATGTAGTATATATACATAATGGAGTATTATTTAAACATAAACAACAACAAAATCATGCCATTCTTATGAAAATGAATGGAACCAGAGATCATCATGTTAAGTGAAATAAGCCAGACTCAAAAGGCAAGTATCACATGTTTTTTCTCATATGTAGAACTAGAAGGGGGAAAAAAAAAAGACAACACAAAAGGGGGACTATTCGGAAAACAAAGGAAAGGCTACTGTAAGGAGAGGGTAGGCAGGGTAAGAGAAAGTAATAGGAAGGTACAATCTTCTCCCCTGAAATCCATTAGATTTGTGAACTCTTTGAAAAGAAAATCATGAATACTTGCAGTCGAAATGGGCTCACTTAAAAAGTCACACCGAATCAACCGAATCAATCTCACTTTGTTTCTTCTTTTTTTCTTCTTCTTATTTTTTTTTTTTCAGTACAAGGGATTGAACCCAGGAGAACTTAATCACTGAGTCACATTCCTATCCCTTTTTTTCATATTTTATTTAGAGACAGGGTCTCGCTGAGTTGCTTAGCGTCTTGCTAAATTGCTGAGGCTGGCTTTCAACTCGTGATCCTTCTGTCTCAGCCTCCTGAGCCACTGGGATTATAGTCATGTGCCAACCACCCAACTCAACCTCATTTTCTTGAAAGCAAAAGTAATAGAATAAAATTTCATTTCAATAAGCCATCTAGCTTAGGTCTGCTGAGGTAGCTTAAAGTAATTTTATAGACATTAAATTCTCATTGTAAGACTTTTATCTATGGCACCTTTATAGTATACAGAGCTTTGTTTGTATTAGTTTCTTCTCAAATTGAAAGTAAGGTCTCATCATTTGGATCCATTAAAACATTCAGCATTGGCTGGGGGATATAGCTTGGTGATATGGGACTTCCCTAGCATGCACAAGGCCCTAGATCCAATCCTCAATACCACACACAGACAAAAACAAAGGAAAAACTTTAGCACAGAAAAGCCCAAACAACACATGAAACAAAAGGCTCCTGGAATGAGATAGAGAGGCATGGAGCAAGCTTATATACAATCAGAAGTTCAGTTGAACCACACCCCATTGGCATAGACCATATGTATCACTGTCTATCTGATGCTGAGTCCCAGTACTCTGACTTTAACCATCTGCTAGTCAATATTTTGAACAATTACTGTGGTCAATCATTCCTCATATCAGGAATGATTTTATTATCTGCTAAAGGGATACTGTCAACATAAGAGGCCAACCTGAATAGGTCTGAAAGGACTATAAAATAAAAAAGATAAAATTACACAAATTCAAACAAATAGTACATTTGTGTTAAATATCAAAAAATAGGATCAAGATAGCCAGCCACAGTGGCACTAAAATAAAATGTCAATCAAATGCAGTATGAGCCTTCTTTGGATGCTAATTCAAATAAACCAAATAGATAAAATAATTGATACAAAAGAGAAATTTACACTGACAAGATACTGAATAACAATGAGGGATGACTTTTTTTTTAGGTGCAATAATGTTGTTAGAGTACATGTTAAAAATAAAAGTTTTAATGTACATTGATGGGTTAAAAGATGTAGTGGATACATATAACTGGATTATTACTTAGCCTTAAAAAGGATGGAAATTCTGACACATATAATTTCACAGATGAACTCTGCTATAGTTTTGTTACGAGATGTCTCACAAATTCTCATGTGTGAGACAACACAAGAATTTTCAGAAACGAAATGATCAGATTATGAGATATGACCTAATCAGTCACATGCAGGATTAACTGGGTGTAACTGTAGGCAGGTAGGGTGTGGCTGGAGGAAGTAGGTCACTGGGGATGTGACTGTGGGATTTATATTTTG